CGGGCCGTATTGTGTGTATGAGTCTTTGGAAGGGGTCTAAGAGTTGCTGCTCGGGTGCGTGAGGGGAGTCTCCCTGTCGGCGTCATGCGCTGCAGTCCACCGTTGTGTCTGAGGTAATTCGGCCGGGCGTAATTATTGTCATCCAGTACATCAAGCCCGCATGCTGCGGGCTTGCGGGCTAAAAAATGGCAACTCTTTCAGGTTCCGCCCCAGTTCCTGCTCGTCACTAGATCGGCGGAGACTGGCAAATACCAGCTGTGTCAGGCGCATCAGGTTGCATAAACAAACTGGGAACGCGAGGGCAGGAGTGAAATGACGCATTGCGTGGTTGACAAATAATGACGTCCTTTTGCACTAGGGCACGGCTACGCCACCACCACGTCTGCTTGCGTTTCATCTGTTGGTAATTGTTGCAGCTGCTTCTGCTGGTTCGAGGGACCACATCACTGAAACGGGCGCGGGTGAGCGGGAGCCTCTTCATGTCTCGACAACTCGGAGGAGACTGGCGGATACGTGGCGATACCCCTCGGCGCCTCAGCGTCTCGAGTCGCACCACCACTCACTCTGCGCCGGCCACATGTTAGCTGGTGTCAGGTTACCCTAGCCCTCGCTACCATGATCTCAGATGGACGACACGTCACGTGCCGCATCCCCCGCCTGAGTTTTCGCTGAACTTAACTTTTGTCATGTACAGCTGTCTCACACACGCTATGTATTTTTGCATTTGCTGCTCTTGGTTCGAGGAATCTCACTACGGAAGCGGGCGTATATGAACGGAAGCCTCTTGAGTCCTCGACTCCTCGGACGTGAGTGTAGGGCTGATAAGCAACTTCCTCCTCTACGACGTCGTCGTCCGGAGAGGGGTTATCAACGGGGTCCCTGGAGAGAACGTGTGGGATGCAGTGTTGCTTGTTCTTGCTGCGCTGGCGCGGGCTGTTGGTTCTCGACAACGACGGAATAGAAATCGTTCAAGACAGATAATTTTTCCATAATATCAGTATTGGGGCAGAGATAGAGCGAATAGGATGGAACGGCACCAGACGACACGTTTGTCCCCTGCCATCGACATGCCAGAAGGGCCGCGATCTGCCCTTAAAAAGCCGAGGCCAGCTCGGCCGATCATGCTGCGGCATATTAGGTTTTCCTGCCGCGCGTTGCCTTATCTGCAGCACGGCGCGGCATTGCACAGTGCTTATCAACACGGGGACGTTCCTGCGTCTCCCCCTGCGTGTTCGGTGAGGTGCCGCCGGCCGTCGGCCGTGGCAGCGCGTCCCCTTGAACGGTGTGGACGTCACACAGTTGTGCGCACTGGCCGGAGTGGGGGGCTCTGGTGGCACGCGCGCCGGCCGCGCGGGGGCAGCAGCGACAGAGCCGGCCGCGACGATTGCGGTCTGGACCGGGAAGTCCGGTGACAGAATACCGAGGGCGATAAAGCTATGCCATGAGAGCAAGGCGCTGGCGAGGCCCCGCACGACAGACACAGTCACGGCAGCTGTGATCGCGCCCAAGGTCAGGCCGCGTGCGATCCTTCTGCAGTACTTAAGTTCCTGTCTATCGGCTGCGTTCAGATTGTTCACGGGCGGACACAGACCGTCGACGTCGACGTGTAAGGCCTCAGTCTGAGCAACGCTCGTGCACGACGTCCCCGTCGACGACGACGTCCCGTCACCGCGAATTGCCAAGGCACATCAACGGGCCACGCCGCCCTCCATCCATCCCTGGCCGTTTACACCCCTCTCGCCCGTCCCGTTGCTGCTCCCGTTGTGCGACGCGACTCTGATGTACCGCTTGCCGTTACTGTTCATGAACCGAATGAGCTGCCCAGAGATGAGCCGTGGGTCGTTTACTGAGACCGGCTGCGTGGGAAGGAAATGCTAAGGACACGCTCTTCGTTACTATAGTACTGCGCACTTGGAAGACACCCACTGCATGTGGATAGACGGGGACCATATAGTTTAGCTTTCGCACATGATGATGGAGCACGATGTCTGGACTAGTTGCGCGAAATGCACATGCTTGCTTTCTTGCGGTCTTGCAATGCGCTGTCTTCCTACAGCCGCCTGTTTGTTCCCAGCGATATATTCCTTGCGAATTTCCGGGTTGGCTCCAAGCGGTGTATTTCTCATCATTCTCCGTGTTGGTTCCTGGGGATGTATTTCTCGGCGTTCCCCGTGTTGGTGCCGTCCTGGACGCGCAACCTCTCTTGTAGCAGGGCCGGACGACAAGGGTGGTGTGCAAACTTATACCACCGTGTTGGAACCAGGCCTGACGCTTTGGTGCAAACGCGCTTACCCGAAACCAGAGCTGGCTTTGAACTAATAGGCGGTGCCTGGTCACCAGGTCACCAGGTTGCGTGTCACGAAGGTTGCACGTCGCACCTGTTGCACAGTGGTGTATGGTGTAGGAAACCGAGAAAGAATTTTTCACTGTTACGTTACTTTTTCGTTTCCACTGTTTTTCACAGTTACGTTTTCACTGTTAATGTGTTACGGATATTGATAGGGTTTAAGCGTCATTCCTCACGAAACAGCTCCCATAGATGCAAAGAAAGCGAAAATGCTTAACAATATGGGTCACACCGTGCGAAAAAGGTTGGACACGTGCGTGAACTATTGAAGACGGTTTTAGTTAGAATTAAGTTGTTTAGCCACGATAGCGTAATTTCACATCCGTTTTGGGCGTGAATCTCTTCCAGTATCACCTTGTAGTGTGCGTAGGTGCTTCCGGAGCTCCCGCAAGACGTTCTTGCGTCCCTCGGGAGTCGGTCCGCTCGTGCAGAGCGTGCGCCATGGGTGGCACATTGCTGGAAAAGTGTGGAGGACGGTGAGCGCGGGCTGAGCAGATGGACAGCTTGTGACAGAGCACCTTCCTGCCGATCCTTCGGCCGCCAGCAACCAGGGCTTCGTTCGCAATCTTGATCTTTGCAATCTTTCGCGGACTTGAACCGCTTGGTGAGGCGTGTGATAACTCCAGTGGTAGTGTCCACTCCTTTGTTGTTGGGACCGTTGCGCGCTCTCATATCGGCCAGTTTCAGGAAATAAAGGTTATCCAACACGCACGGCACACAAGCTGATGACGACGGCAGGTTTTCAGCACTGCTCATAGCCGTTGGCGGTTTCTCCGGCAATGTTATTGTGTAATTGCCCGTCTGCCGCAACTGCAGCCAGGTGGCCCATGTAGATGATGCTTAGCCTACCTATGGTGGCCCGTAGCTGCTTCGCATGTCCGCTGCCACTTCTGCGGTTCGCTACCACTGGGACACCAATCACAAAACCTTGCCTCATTTTCCCAGCCGGGGGCGCAGGCACACCTGTAGTGACGGCTCTGACGTTCATGGTCAGGCCGGTTACTCTGTCAGCCATACAGGTGACAATACAGGGCAGCGGTGTGTTGGCTCAGTTTTTGCCGAACTTCTTCGGACGGCACCTGTCGTGTCCTATCCATGAACATTTTTGAGTGGTAAAGTCCCCCATGTTAAAACCATTTTTTTTGCTGGAGCATAATCAGCTCTTGAAACGAGGAGGGGACTTGCTGATGACGTAGCTCGCTGTCCTTTGCACGCTTTGGGCAACGCCGCCATTCTCCTTTCGCAGGGCCTGATGCTCTGCCTGGCGCTTTGCGGCTTCCTGGGCTCTCAGGTGTCGGTCAGTGGTAAAGTGGCGCTTGATGGTATCCTTCAGCGACCTGGATGGTGCCGGAAGATGTTCAGCACGGCGGAAGGCCTCGTCGATCTCGTAACAGCATGTGAATATATCCGCGGTGTTTTGAGCGTCATTGGAGCGGATGATGGGTGTTTGATGCACGCTGTGCAGCGCAAGTTTTCCCCGGTAGAAGACACAGCCGGCGTCTTCGAGACCCCTAGCAGGTCAGTGGGTCAGCAACACCACGACCCCGCAGGGACACCGGCTTCGGTCGGGATAGGGGACTAGCGCCCCCTCGGGTCCCAGATCCGGTAACGGGTGGACAGCGCAAGCTGTTCCTCTCAGGGCGTAGCGACCCTGCCGGTACGTGAGCTCCTGCTCCTTGTCCCGCCCGCTCCCTCCACATTACCCGCACTCCCACACCCGCACGCATGAGAGAGCGACCCTTTAAGAAACACTTGCCATGCGGCCTCGGTATTGATCAATCAATTGCAGTAAGAAGCCAGTGGGGTTTGCAAAGATGAACGATAAACAACGAACATGGTTGACTTTGTCGGGATTTTTGACAACGCTGTGCGACAATATTTAAATTTTGTGGTCTACATCAGTACCGAAATGTTGGGCATATATAAGCGAAGCGTTGGCTGTTATGGTTGTGCTTGACCCGTACCTGATGACGCCATGGGAGATGCTTAGTGACCCAGCCTGGTTCCAACAACCATCGTTAAGACTTGCACCGATGCCTCAGCACTTTGTCGGCTTGCAGGCCTTCCGGCGGTCACGCAAGAGGCTTGCCGCCCGCCAGTATCTGCTGTTGGTGTGGGCCGAGGCAGAGGCGGATCTGGCAGCATTGTTTGGGGAGGGGGCAAACGAACAGAAAAGTAAAATCAGCTGGATCCAAGTGTCGATGCTTAAGCAGCCGGTCAGAGATTTGTGTGGTACTCGGGAATAGTATCGCCAAAAGCAGCAACAAATTTACGATGGCTTATCGTGCAACAGCGAGGAACATGGCGTGTGAATGGCCAGGACTTTCGGCTTTATTCCTCGTTGATGGATGACGACAGGGAGTGCATTGATGTTTTTGCTACAAGCGAACGCCAAAGCAGGACACCGACGTTCTATTGTGGCAAGGCTGGCAGCCCACATATCAGCGTATCTCTATTTTTGACTGTGGCAGACATTTACACAAACGCTGGAAAAGAAGCGTAGGGTTACTCGCAATTTTTCCTTTCCGCCCGACATTTGTTCATTTTGCCCCTCCTCGGGACACGCCCCTGGGACGAGAGGGTGGACATCTGCACCGCTTCCGGCGGTAGTGGCTGGGCGGCGTCTCCAGTCTTCCTGCGGCGGCCAGCGGAAGCGGCGAAGCCTGGGCCGAAACGCCGGCCGTCCGGCGGCCAGTGACTAAGCGGCTCGCCGTCCGCGTGTCTCGGGGCACCGGTCGGAAGAGTCCAAACGGCGAGACTGGTGACAAACTTAAGGTGACAGGTGGCGGCTGGCGGAAGACCGTAGGGTGCTGGCCGAGAGTCTGCGGGTCGACAACACGAGGAACTCCAGAGAGGCCCGGTGGCCGGGCGTAAGGAATTCACTGATCCGGTTCTTCAGACGGTGAACCCCCGGAGAGACCGGTTCGACAAACGCTGGAAGAACATCCAGGAAATTTGAGCCAACGATGGCGCAGCTCGGTGGCAGCGCTCTCTGGCTGGTATTGTATTCCGTCACAATACTGTTCAAAGTCAGCCATGGCGACGACACGTTTCAAATGTGCGAAATCAAATGCTGCACGTTCAAACCAAACTGCAACAAGGCATCCTCTGCGAACTGCAAGTGCCCAGGAGAGACGGTAAGATATTATGTCCTGCAATCTTTGAATAACTCGATATGTCATCATAATGAAAGATTGAAGGGCCTTTGAGTTTGTTCTTAACTTCAGTGAAAGCTCGTGCTGTGGTATAAGAACCTTTTTTTAAAAAAACTTTCCATGCATTATGCCTCAGCGCTTTACAAGGGCTACATTGCGTGTACAGTTCTTTCTAAGCACAGCTTGAAGCACAAACCGAGCGAGACTGTCGGATGGAAAGAGTTCAACGCAGAATTTTCGATAAGGTATCTAAACGCCCCCGTCCGACCGGTGCTGATCCGCCCCCGTCCGACCGGTGCTGATCCCACCCCGTCCGACCGGTGCTGATCCGCCCCCGTCCGACCGGTGCTGATCCCACCCCGTCCGACCGGTGCTGATCCCACCCCGTCCGACCGGTGCTGATCCCACCCCTCTAGCCGGACATCCATCTGACACCTGAGCAGGGATGGAGATCGTTCTCGTAAAGAGGTGTCCTCTCGCTTTGAGAATATCTAGCCCATTTAACTTGATTTTAAAAGAAGTCGAGCCCTTTGTGAAAAGCTAATACGCAGACCCGATGGCAGCTGGAAGTCTGTTGCACTTTTTGACGAGCGGAAGTGTACGACATTTTGGTTAAGTTGTTAAGTGCATTTGCGAGGAGCGTTGTGCATATAGGTTAGACAGTAGTAATGGCCTTATTCTTCGTAGAACAAGGGAAATGGAGGGACAGATGCGTTTATATTTTGACAACATGCCCTCATCAAAACGAATGCCGTAATACCAATGTGTTTTATCAAAACGAGAAATTTCCCGTACATCTGATTAGGGGCAATGTGCCGATGACGGTACAGCATAATTTATGCATTTCTGAAAAAGTTTGGAGCGTTAAAACATGGCAGGCATACCACATTAAGAATGACAATGCAGGAAAGCATTTCCGGTGGCCAGACCTATTAAATGGTGACGTTTACCAACACATCCTTAGCAGCTAGGCTTTTTGTTCCCAATGCTATCGTTCCCAATGCGATTTGTGTACTGACGTACTTTGTTTCTACAATTTTAAGGAGTGTGTGAATGTCACAGTACATGTCTCTTCCCCGCTCTTTTGTGTTAGCTGATGATGACATGAGCCAGTATCTGCCGATCTGTCAGATTTAGAGTACCCTATGCTATCATTCCCAATATTTTTGTTTGCTTATAACTTTCTTTGTTTCTATAATGTCAAACAGCTGCGGGATGCTGCAGTCTTACTACTTGTCCCGATTCCAGTGGAAAATCTTTGAAAGATTTGGAATTAAAGATTAAGAATTCCAGCCTTAAAAGGTCTACCAGCATTTGCAGGCTGGCATAGGATATGGCAGCATTGGCATACTAAAGAAACTTAGTCCCCTTTTCATATGTATTATTAGACAGGGTCGTAATTTGGTGCCAAACCTTGAAGCGCACGAAAACCGGGATGATCGGAAGCGTAATTCATCGTTTGCCGCCAAGTACATCACAACATACTTCAAATATTACGCTGAAAACGGTCCACCGTTGCGTTCGATGTTGCAAGGAGCGCGCAACGCTGTTGCAATGCTTCATTACTGAATTCCATTCGTAAGCGGTGCGCGGGCAGGACCAGGTTATGTGCTGTCCCTCCCATGACCGGGTCTGTCTCCGGGGCGACTGTCTGATGACCAGGCGCCCGTCGGGGGACAGTGCCTGGTGACCAGGCGCCCGTCGGGGGACAGTGCCTGGTGACCAGGCGCCCGTCGGGGGACAGTGCCTGGTGACCAGGCGCCGGCCGAATGACGGTGCCTGGTGACTAGGCGCCGGTCGAGCGACAGTGCCCGGTGACCAGGCGCCGGCCGAGCGACAGCGCCTGGTGACCAGGCGCCGGTCGGCTGCCAGTGGATGGTGACCAGGTGCCGGTCAGGTGACAGTGCCTGGTGACTAGGCGCCGGTCGGGTGACAGTGCCTGGTGACTAGGCGCCGGTCGGCTGCCAGTGCCCGGTGACTAGGCGCCGGTCGGCTGCCAGTGCCCTGTGACCAGGCGCCGGTCGAGCGACAGTGCCTGGTGACTAGGCGCCGGTCGAGCGACAGTGCCTGGTGACTAGGCGCCGGTCGAGCGACAGTGCCTGGTGACTAGGCGCCGGTCGGGTGACAGTGCCTGGTGACTAGGCGCCGGTCGAGCGACAGTGCCTGGTGACTAGGCGCCGGTCGGGTGACAGTGCCTGGTGACTAGGCGCCGGTCGAGCGACAGTGCCTGGTGACTAGGCGCCGGTCGGGTGACAGTGCCTGGTGACTAGGCGCCGGTCGGGTGACAGTGCCTGGTGACTAGGCGCCGGTCGAGCGAGAGTGCCCGGTGTCCAGGCGCCGGTCGGCTGCCAGTACCCGGTGACTAGGCGCCGGCCGGCTGCCAGTGCCCGGTGACTAGGCGCCGGTCGGCTGCCAGTGCCCTGTGACCAGGCGCCGGTCGAGCGACAGTGCCTGGTGACTAGGCGCCGGTCGGGTGACAGTGCCTGGTGACTAGGCGCCGGTCGAGCGACAGTGCCTGGTGACTAGGCGCCGGCCGGGATCTGTATCAGCCATGTGTCGCCGGCTGGTAGTTGACCTTGCGGTGGCCTCATATCCGTCTGGATGTCCGTGTTTTGCAGCGGCGACATCGTCAAGTTACAACAGGAGAGTTTGTGAGTATCATGCCATATTCCGTGCACTATGGCGTGATATTTTATGCTCGAGAGTGCCCACTTTGCTCCGTGATTTGCTGTTTAAAAATGCGACGTGCCCTTATTTTCCGGTGCAGCGGTTTCGAGTGGCATATGGCTTAACAGATTTTTATTAGGCCCGACAATCCCACATCTCCGACCCCAAAAACGACATCTGCTCCGAGCCTTTTAAACTGTCCGCAAAACAGCATTGGTCGGCGCTGTGTCTAGGGGCGTCCATTCCATCCATGACCAACAAAGTGGCCGAGTCAAAATTCACAAGCACATAGCCTTTGCTTCTTCCGTTTTTAGGCATTTTCAGGAATTTTGCAAAGGTGGAACTCGATCTTAGCGGTGTTATACTCGTCGAATTGCCGTTGATCAAATTATCTCGCAGGACACCGGCTTCGGCCGGTGCAGTGGAGCAGCGCCGCTTCGGGTCCCAGCTCCGGTAACGGGTGGGCAGCGTAAGCTATTCAGTTCAAGGCTTAGCAGCCCTGTCAGTACGTGAGCTGGTCCTCTCTTATTCTCAATCATTCACATCTACGTAGTCACTTAGCTGTTATGGGCGCAAAATGACCTCAGTGGTCGGCGAGTCCTAAGACCCCAATCAACAACCATGCCGGCTCTCGTGTTGCAGGCCGCCGGGCAACGTGGAGAAAACAGCCGTTTACAGCATGTTCAACTCGTAGCTCATTTACTTTTATGTTTGTCTCATAGACGTGGTCATGGCAAGCGACTCACTTACAGCAAAAAGCAAGACAAAGAAGCTTTTTTGCTAACAGATAAACAAATAATATTTTTATCCCAAACCAAAGCTGCACCATTCTCTCATGTATTAAATGGTAGTGAACTCATGAAAGACGAACGCATTTTTTTGTTTGGACACAGAGCTGGGTGAGGTAAGGTAAGCGCTGCGATCTGGATGGATGTTATTTTAAAGACAAATATAGCATGCACCGTAACACTGTCCTCTGTTTCAGATCTTACTATCGCAAGGCGAAATACCAATGTCGATTGAGCGCATTTCGGTATCCAACACATCGCAGGTCATCATCTTCAAAAACGCCATCTATAGCATGCTCTATTTGAAGACGCTGAAGTTCAAGGATTTGGAGCGGTTAGAAATATGGACAGATGGATTCAACCTGCAAAGCAATGCTAGTTGTCTCGAACTTCGAATTGAACGAGTAAAACGTCTTCGTGCAAAGGATTCGGCTTTTTCTGGGCACTGGTGCGGCGAAACCACTATTTCCATCCAAACCATTGACAGATTCATCATTTCACGGAAGGCTTTCAGGTTTCAGGCAAGCAAACGCGGACCCCGTGTAGAATTGAAGAGCGTCGGCCAGCTCAAGGCGGCTGAAGAGACGTTTGCGGCAACTATCGGCCAGTTGTCCCTGATGAATGTTAGCATGGTGGATTGGTGCCCATCGAATTGTTTTGGTGGAAACATCTCCGATCTCGAGATGGTACGCGTGAAGATCCCCAAAGCTGAGGCGAAGTGCGTGGACGCAGAAAGCGGGTGGGTAAAGCTTGCTATTCTCTCTGTTGAGATTTTAAGCGTCTCTTCATCGGCCTTCTGCGGGGATGTCCGAGAAGTAGTCATTGCCAACACCAACTTCACAGACATTCAGAGTTCAGGTTTCAATATGGCTGTTAAGAACCTGAAAATCCATTCCTCAAGCTTTAAGGATATAGCAACCGACGGTCTGAGTGTAACGGCTGAACAATCAATCCGGTTAGAGAGCCTGAGCGTTGATAGGCTTCGCCGGCATGCACTCAGAGGTCTACGCATCAGCAATAGCTCCGTGGGTCAAGTTCGTCCGCTGATCATCCGTAAATTCCGCATTGCGTCAAGACCGGAGCACAGAGCCCTGGAGTTCGCGACAGGCCTGAGGGTCTGCATGGAAGGTCTCGACATCATCGGCTCGTCGCCAATGTGTCCGGCAGAGGAGTGGACGCGGCAGCTGGTGGGCGCGGGCCCAGCTGACCAGCTCAGCCAGCCGCAGCGCCAGGTGCTCCTGCAGCTCCACGACAAATGCCCAGCTGACGACGGAAACCATTCCTCGACTGCCAGCGTCGACCCCAGCTGTGTCGGCGTCTTCCACGGGTCCGCGGGGGAGGACAGCCTGCGCTGGCTGGCGCTGTATGGCGGTCTCGGAGTGCTGCTGGCGCTGGTGCTGGCGCTGGCGCTGGTGGCGGCGGTCGTCGTTCGTCGCGAGAGACACCGCGCCATGTCGGCCTGTGCAAAGCCCCTCTCAGTCTCTCTCAGCTCAATCAGTGAACACAAAAGAGATGAATCAGGGAGGGAGGTGGCCGGCCACTGTGAAACAGCGGCACGCGATAACACGTCCGCGGAGATCGGGGAGAGCCTTCTCACGCCACCCGCTGAGGGACATCCTGACAAAGGCCGCGGTCATGGTGCTGACCAGTCAGGAGTGATCCCCCGCTCTGGAGAGGCGACGAGTGACGACATGTACGCCGAGGTTCGAGAGTCATACTCCTTGCCGTTTTCAGGTGGTAACGAGTGTTCAAGCGGGTCTGACGGCCAGGCGAGAGGCGCGTCCACAGCACGAGATCACCAAAGTGACGCTGCAGCGGATGACGACATGTACGCTGAAGTCCGGGACAGTTTCATCCCATCGCCGGCAGCCGGCTCTGTGTCCCATGAAGGCTGGCCGCTGTCGCCGAGGGCCTCGGCTGAAGCCCCATATCCACCAGCTCTCTGGCATCAACCCGTTTCCGTGCAGGACGTGGTGGACAATGAACTGTACGTTGCGTATGAGCAGCCAGCACCGTAAACACGGTCCAGGTGGCGCCACCAGCATCGCGGCGGCGTGGACGGAAGTGGCGTGGACCGGCTGTGACCGATCTACCATGAAGTTCGGCGCGTGATGTTGTGGACTTTTTACAAAGGTTGTTGCTTCCGCACGTGGCAGTGGTGAAAGCTCCTAGCCACGTGCATGCATGCATGCCACGTGAAATGTGCATTAGTGCATGCCACGTGAAATGTTTGAATGTGTGCGTATCGCGCGGCTCATTTGCATATAAAAATTGTAGGCAGGACAATATATTGTTTGTGCATTGCACGAGTACATAATACCCCAATCATTTTCTTTTTTGTACAATGACGCTTTCAAGAATGACGTACAAATAGTCTGGACAGTTATCTGGTCAGTTAACTGTGTAGTTTTGCCAAGTTATCTGCCAAGCAGGTAGACAAACTCGCCTTCCATGGTATCCTTACAACCACGCGACTTATAATCGCCGCAGGCTCTAACTTCAAAACGATGGAACAGAGAGATTCGCAATGCCACAGTTGACTTCAGCGCTGATGAAAATTCCTGGAACTTAATTCAATTTAAATCCGAGGGATGGCGGTGCAAAACCGGAGATGGCGAAGAATTTCCCATCCCAGCCAGAGATGGTTGTAAATGACCGACTAGACCTTGTGCCATCTCCAAGGTATTTTGGGCTCTGTTTCCATATCTGAAGCATATTCTAAACCACTACCTTTCACTCAGGCTCATTTTATAACCGACAGATTGCGCTTACACATAAAAATCCAGCTTGTAGGTTTTGTCCTCACCAGACCTGTTCCTTGAACGGCAGTGATGCTAAAGGGCAGATTGGGGTGCGTTAGACTTTAGGATGTTCTGTGTTTCTGCCCGAACCCTCGATTTACCGACTATGTGCTAGAAATAGTGTTGAGTCGATTGACTGGTTATCGATATCGATATCGATAATCGATAATAAATCAATTATCAGCGAACATTGTCAGCCGAGAGCCACTCCGCGAGCGTTGCTTAGTGGCTTTCATAGTTGTTACAAAAATAACTAAAATGAAAGCGTAAATCGCATCGCATGTCACATAACGTTTAGCGTAACCACAAGTTCTATCTGAAACTGGCCCTGCTGCCCGCTGAATGCGCAAAAGAAAAACATATTAAATTGCGTTTTTAGCCCTCAGCTTGCCGTGTTGAGCTGCAGCGTGCAGCCGTGCTTGTGACCCTAGGAGCCACGTCGTCTCCCCTCTGATCCATGTTGTCTCCTCTCTGATCCTCCCCTCAAGCTCCAGACTGGCCTATGTACACCTTGAGCGGGAGGAGGTGCTGCGCTGCAGGCGAGCGCCGAAGTCCTGCTACGTCGCTCTGTTCTTCCAGCAGGCTGCCGAGCCTGCATTCTGAATGCTGGAAAAAAGCTGCGGGTCGGAGTTCCTGGCTTGTATGAGGAAGGTCATGTGCATCTCTGCTCGGCACAGTCAGAGTATTATCGAAGATCATAAATTTACAGCTGCAAACGGTTCAAAAAGTTTCACGAGTCCGACTGCTACCACCCGACGGCCCGTGACGACGTCGTGACCAATTTCCGTACCTCAGCAGCTTGATAACACTCCTACACACGACACAAAGTGCATTGCAAACCAATCAATAGCACTGCACCGTGAGCTGTGGGCCTTCTTATTTCAAGGCTCTGCACCGGGCCCAGCCAGGACAAAGGCGGCTCGAGGTTGCGAGGGTGCACGGTCCCGCGCTCACTTAAAACGGCCCCGCACGATCACCACACGCCCCGGAGCCCCCCAAATGAGCCTCCAAGCTGCGTCTGCAGGTTGGCGTCAAGCGGCTTGATATAACCTCAACGAGCCGCGGCCGTGCCCCAATGCACCACCATCGGTCTAACTAGCATACCATTTGGACGTACGATTCCAGCCATATCTGGTAGTGTTCCCGCATTCACGCTGGGTTTTTGAGGGAAGGGAGGGGATGATGACGCGTTCAGATTCTTTCGCGATTTACAACTGCTATTTTCTACGCCGATTGTTGCAGTGAATCGAACTCATAACTACCGTGCACAGTCGCTGATCGACGGCGCACCAGATGCGCCGGGCCGCCCAGTAGCCCTCACGAAGATGAGATCATGAACACGTGCCCGACGCAAATCAACGGCGGCAGGTAAACACGATCCGTGACTGGTCACCAGTGACGTCATAACAATTGAATAACAAATGGTAGATTCACTCGGAAAAGGTTCGCAAATAGATTGCGCGCTTTGCTTCAAACATCGGAAATGTTGCGAAGCTGTCGGATCGCTACAGTGATGTAGCACATCGGACTTAAGAGAGAAGACTGATGACCTTTAAGTCCCAAATGAACTAACCTGTTTGATGCCAAAGACTTGAAGGCCGACAGATACGTGAAGAACAGGGTAAGCCTACTTGCGGGTAGGAATTTTCCAAGTTTGCGATGATCAGGTGGTTAGAAAGGGAAGGAAAACAATCAAAACAGGACGACGCAGTTCACCTACACCTACAACGGTCGATGCTGCACCGCGGCTCCTACTGCTAACGTGGTGGTTGGATACAGTGACAGCAGAATGTGCCCAGTTTTAGGCTGCCGGGCGGCGCTGGCCAACTGTCAATGACGATGTTTGTCTTCGGGTAGCGCTTTTTTGTAGAAATTCCTCAGAAATTTCCCGCCGGCCCATCCTTGCTCTGTACAGGACGGTGATGCGCATATCATTGGTGAGCGGTGCCTTTGGTTGACTGATGGACGAATGGCTACCGAACAGTGTGCGGCGGTCTGGTTATTGGCATCACGCAGATGTTCACTGAAACGTAAACGGATGCTGCCTTTTACGGTCACCGATTTAGTCGCCTTAGATCGGATAAGCGACGTCATTGGTGGCAAATCGACTTTCCAGTCCGGCTTTACAGCTGGCGCCTCTTCGATACCCGGGGGGATAACGAGGTCGCTCTAGCTCTGCACGCACAGCGAGGTCGCTCTAGAGGAGAACGGACAGCGAGGTCGCTCTAGCTCTGAACGCACAGCGGGCTCGCTCTAGAGGAGAATGGAGAGCAATGTCGCTCTAGCTCTGAACGCACAGCGCGGTCGCTCTAGCTTCGAACGCACAGCGGGGTCGCTCTAGCTTCGAACGCACAGCGCGGTCACTCAGGCTTCGAACGCACAGCGGGGTCGCTCCAGGGGAGAACGGACGGCGAGGTCGCCCTAGCTTCGAACGCACAGCGGGGTCGCTCCAGAGGAGAGCGGACGGCGAGGTCGCTCTAGCTCTGAACGCACAGCGAGGCTGCTCTAGTGTAGAACGGACCAAATAATTCCTTATGCCGTTTCCATTGGTGCACATGGTACTGTTTTGAAGCCCGGAGGAGTGTATGACGCCTTGCACCTACCTCGCCAGATGAGGATCAATGGATGAAAGTGTCATGTACATGGCGCTCTCGTCTCTTCGTGACGGTTGTTTTCTCTCATGGTTGTTTCGCAGTGTAGGTGTGTGAGGAGGCGACCCATGGTAGTACCACGCCCTGGGTGCTAAAACAAAATTCCGGAGAAAGAAGCAGCGCTGTAGGAGTGTCATTTTCTAAAATTGGTCGGGGCTTTAGCCGGAATGGTCGACCTGACATGCCCCAAAAACCTGGTTTCTCCCCGGCTTTCGGCCTCTTAAATTTGCGTTCGTGAAAAAAACGTGAACTTTCTCTTAATATTCATAGTTTGTTTTCCCGCGGACGAATGACATACCATTTCAAGCTGGTGTTGGCTGACTTTTTGTGAAAAGGGTGTAATTTGGGTGTAATTCACCGAGACACATCGTATTAAATCCTAGTAAGGGATCACTGATAACTATTACTGTCGCTGATCGTGTTGCACAACCACCGCAGCCACGATTATGCGACAAATACGCTTGTCACTGCTGGGGAAAACATGCGTTCATTTTTATCTGGACCACCCTGTGCTTCTAAGAGTTGTTGTAGGGCTTGCGGTGGCCGAAGGCCGAATGCTGCGGTAATCATGACTTTGGGCTTCCCTGCGTGCACAATCTACATCCATGACAGTGATGTATGGCACACAGGATTGCACGGTATATGGAAACGGTCTCTCCTACAAAACATAAATAAAACAATAGTAATAGCCTTATTCTTCGGGGGGAAAACCAGAAATATGTAGATGTAGATGGTTTGATATTTTAGCAATATATCATATATATATATATATATATATATATATATATATATATATATATATATATATATATATAGAAACAAATGGCATTAGTGGTTATTCTTACTTCTGTCACTGTGACTTCTGCTGTTTATTACGATAAAGGCATGTTGCGGAAATCTCGACTTATCTGTATCTCCATTCCCGTTCTTTTTTGCGAGGAATAAGGCAATTGCTACTGTCTTGTCTATGTGCATAATGTTCCTCGCAAATGCAGGCCTAATATATGGCGGAAGTACTACCATTAACACAATGATATTACTGCGGCTTATGATGTGTAATTACAAAACAGCCGAGTTCAAATAGTTGTCCAGATTTGATCTGGTCAGGCGGTTTCCTGACATCGGTCCTGAATGGCTTTCAGGACGATTACGAACGCTAATGCTATGCATGGCATAGCGCTCTCATGCTTTGAAAACCACCGGCCAGTGCGCATAAAGGTAAGAAAGCATCGTGGAGCACCACTCCACACACGTCTCGCCCGTGCGGCACTCCGAGCGTCGAGTCGTCGGTCACCGACCTGGCATGACGGGAGCGTGACGCATGCGGCTTGGAAGTAAAACCAATGCAAACGCTGCCGATAATATCCTCATCACGAGGCGTTGCACGGCTCAGCACACACACCTGAAAAAGAGTGCGTGCACAAGCCGCGAACAATCTGAACGAAAATGGCGTCAGGTGAACGCGCAAAAATCATGCACGGTGCATGCTGTCTCAGCAATCCTTTCTCTCAGTGCCCGAAGCCGTGTTCTCGTAATACAGCCGACACATACACACGCACACACACACACACACACACACACCACACACACACACACACACACCCACACAACACACACACACACACACACACACACACACACACACACACACACACACCACACAGCACCCACACACCACACACCACACACACACACACACCACACACACACACACACACACACACACACACACACACACACACACACACATACACACACACACCACACACACACACACACACACACACACACCACTACCTCTCTCTCTCTCTCTCTCTCTATCTCTCTCTCTCTCTCTCTCTCTCTCTTCTCTCTCTCTCTCTCTCTCTCTCTCTCTCTCTCCTTCTCTCTCTTCTCTCTCTCTCTCTCTCTCTCTCTCTAATCGCGTGACAGTTTCAGTACAAACTTTGTAAAAGGGTTGCCTGTATTTGATAACGTTTTGTTAGTGTAACTAACGACATCAGTCATAGCAAAGTCACGCAACAAGCAAGATGGGAACAATTACAAGTACAGTTGTTCCGCATCAGTTCAGAATAGCATTCAGAGCTTCCAAGGACCTTAACCATTTAAATTTCAAATTGCATGCATTCGCGGACAATACATGAGTCGCACCTTTGATACGGGAAATCATCACATCACACCTTTGATGCCAGAGAATGACCATCACGCAGTGGGGTGTGCTCGTCATATTCATTTGCCTGTTAATGACAGGTCCTTTGCGTCTTATTTACCCGGCTTCAAGTACTTTGAGTACCCCTTTTGTGGCACTTGCTAGAATAGTGGTATTGCATACCCCATACCTCTTTCTCGTGAGCCTGGCGTTGTGGCCTACATAAAAGTTGCTTTGGCGCATCGTCTTCAAGGTACTTCGTGATGCGTCGTGACAAGACACTTGCCGTGTGACCAGTGCATATCGAGTTAGGTCAACGCACACAGTCGCCGAGTGGACAATGCATCTCATTCATAATGTTTGTCACTTTTAGGGTCCAGATTTCTCCGGATAAATTGCTTTTCATAGATAACCAAAAAAAAAGATCACACAGGGGGTCTCCGAAGCTTGCTGCCTCTAAAACCTGTTCATGCAAAAGTCGAATAAGTGTTTTTGGTTCACCTACGTGCGATACACGTCAGACGGACGTCAGTCGTACCTACACGTGTCAGTCGTACATGCACGTTGTTTCAGTCGTACTTAAACGTCGACACAGCCGTACATACACATCGACATACTTGTACATACACATACACGTGGAAGAGATGTCGGACATTTATCTTCCGAATCTTGCATGCATGCATGACAAATTAGCTTATCAAATGGGCAAATTTGGTGTGAAATTGACGACCTGACTAGACATTTTTTTTTCCAAAGTATCGTGGTTTTGCCCGGCTATCAGAATATAAAGATAAGACTTTCACACTGAGTTAATCTTCACACACAATGCTCGATCTGTTTTAGAAATATATGTCAGGCATCCAGGTCTGATATATTTGTTTTACGTTTGTTTCGCTGATCCCTGTTATGAAGCCCAGCCCGAAGGTTTCTGTTTATGTATTTCTGGAGAGCGCACCCACGCCGACACGCACTGCTTGGTAAGGTAGCCGTGACCGTACCATTCCGTTGTCAAATCCGGGTCAATAGTAGAAGTTGATGGCGAAAGGTTAACGTGCTGCAGAGCTCCGCACGGCCAACGCTGCTCTGCGACGTCAATTGGCCGTCAGAGCGGCCGCTACCGCTCGCAGCGCGCTGTCACAGTCATTGAGGCATACTGAGCGCCTGGAGTCACTCGAACCTACCCTGCCACGTACGGGTGGATCGGGAGGCAGGCGTTCTACTAAGTGAGCTATCGGGACCGGCTGTTGCGCATTTCGGGACGGGACGGTTAAAGTTCAGTTCGGTGGTGTGGCTTCCACCTGGCTGTACCACAAAATAAATTGGTACGGGTGGAATGGAATTGATATCGAATCATCCCGTTTTGTGTGGTGCGCTCCAAAGCGAAAGAAATGTTTGGATGGTGATATCTTTTTAAAGGGTATGACCATGAGCTCAGCCTCCGAACGTCGTGTTTTCTCAATACAACAGGTGCTTGATTGATAACATTGTTGAACCACAATCTCCTGATATTTTGAAGGTTCACTATTTCCAACATGAAAACCCCCGAAAACTCACCGGAGCGCCATCAGTTCACGACCTGTCTTGCGTACAGAAATTCCAACATATAGCAAATCGTGAACTGCGCTAATTTTCCAGCATTCAGTCACGGTACCTAACTTGGCCGTTTAGTCGCCAACATGTCCCTTTCATGTCCTCAAAATTAGCGACATGCTCATAGTGCAGTTCACTTTCGCGCTCCAAATCGGTTCACGCTGGCAGTGTACACGAGTTGGTATAGCCTCCGGTCTGTTCCTGTTAGGTCATGCCATTCTTCATAAATGCGTCTTTTAACGCCTCGGTCCATTTTTGATTAATGAGAGCGACTTTTTTTGTTCATGACAGCCGGTTGATTTACGAATATTTCTCCTTTATCACACCCCATTCTGAGCTTTTTACAAAAATGTGGTAACGCATCGGCCTCACTTGGGAGGTCCTACATCGGTACCAAAACAGCCTGGGAATCGACCAAACATAAAAACACCTTTGGAGTGCAACACATCGGTAACCCAAGATCGCCTTTAGCTTAGGTAGCATAGCTTCACGTAGCTTTAGCAAGAGGTATCTTAGATCACCTTTATCGGCCCAGCCCTTCCCTCATCCGATTTAAGATCACGAAGGTATCATTTTAGAGGTGACACCTCCGCGCATGACTGCCGAGTCAACCTATACCCGAAGTAGATTTGCAGCAGTCGCCACACAAGAGAGGGGGCGGGGCCGCAAGACCAATCTCACCCGCATCGTGGTTTCTGGGCTCATTAAAAATCCACCATTATCGGCGTGGGCGTTGCACGCTCTGCCCAACACCAGGCGTTAGGACTTTCCTGTTTGGGCTCTACCGGGTTCATGGGCGGGGCATGCTTTTGGACGGTATAAAAGGCAGCGGTGGCGCGCAAAGTGGACCCGGCCTGCACTCCATACACCAGTTTCCGATGCACGCTACAGCTAATAAGGCTCACAAGTGAAAGATATCGGGTCACATCAGGTGCTTAGGAACGGCAACATGAAGGTAAAAGTTCCATCGCCAGATCGGAGAGGAGCCAGTTTCCGGTCTGAGCAAATCGTGCATTGGTGTTCTGTGACCGTGCTCTGTCAGGCTGTTATTTTTAGCAAAGATGACCATTGGCGGGATGGGGTCCCCAGAAGCGAGTCACGCTTCCGTGACTGCTGACTGCTTACTTAGCTCTCTCTTCACGTCCGACTTGACTTTGGGCATTTGACATGGCTTTCGCGCTTCCCCGTATCGTGTTTGCCCTTTGAAGCACCGCCGGTCCTGCGACCCGTGCACTGTTGCAGCGCGCGCAGCCCTTTTCACAAGGTGGGTTTCGTTTCCGCGCACGGTTTTACGACGTTCTCAGTACTGGGTTCTCAGTACTCAGTGCTCAGTTATCAGTACTCATCTGCCGTACTGGGCTTGCGCTGGCGTGAGGAACGCAACGTAAGGTGTTCGCGGCTGTGTGGCGTTCTCACAGGCCTGTGACATCTCGGGGTCTTGTGACGTGCTGAGTCTGCCTTGGAACGTGCTGAACCTGCCCTGTCACGTGCCGAGCCTACCCTGTGATATGCTCACAACTCCGTCTTCTCTGTTCGCAGCTGTTCGCTCTCGCCGTGCTTGTGGCTGCCGCCGCCGTCAGCGGAGACCGCTGTGGCGGCCACAGCTACGGCTACGGCTACGGCCACGGCCGTCACCGAGGCTACGGCGACGACTACGGCTACGGCTACAACAGCCACGGTGGCGGCTACGGCAGCCACGGCGGCGGCTATGACAGCTACGGCAGCGGCTACGGAAACCACGGCAGTGGCTACGAGAGATACGGCAGTACCCACGGCATGCGCAGCTACGGCCGCGGATACGACAGCTACGGCGACGACTATGGCTACGACTACGACCACGATGGCGGCTATGACAACTACGGCAGCGGCTACGGCAGCCACGGCGGCGGCTATGGTAGCCACAGGAACGGCTACCGAAGCCATAAGGGCGGTTACGGCAGCTACGGCAGCGGCTACGGAAACCACGGCAGTGGCTACGAGAGATACGGCAGTACCCACGGCATGCGCAGCTACGGCCGCGGATACGACAGCTACGGCGACGACTATGGCTACGACTACGACCACGATGGCGGCTATGACAACTACGGCAGCGGCTACGGCAGCCACGGCGGCGGCTATGGTAGCCACAGGAACGGCTACCGAAGTCATAAGGGCGGTTACGGCAGCCACGGCAGCGGCTACGGAAACCACGGCAGTGGCTATGAGAGATACGGTGGTAGCCACGGCATGGGCAGCTACGGCCGCGGGTACGACAGCTACGGCGACGACTATGGCTACGACTACGACCACGATGGCGGCTATGACAACTACGGTAGCGGCTACGGCAGCCACGGCAAGGGCTACGGCAGCCACGGTAGCGGCTACAGATACCACGGCAGCGGCTACAGAAAGCATGGCAGCGACTACGGATACCACGGCAGCGGCTACAAAAAGCATGACAGTGACTACGGATACTACGGCAGCGGCTACAGAAAGCATGGCAGTGGCTACGGATACCACGGTAGCGGCTACAGAAAGCATGACAGTGGCTACGGATACCACGGTAACGGCTACGGAAAGCATGACAGCGGCTACGGATACCACGGCAGCGGCTACAGAAAGCACGGCAGCGGCTACGGCGGTAGCTATGGTGGCAGCATGTACGACACCCGTTATGGCGGTAGGCATGGCATCGGCGGCGGCAGCTACGGCAGCCATCGCGGCGGCTACGGCAGACGCGACGGCGTCTACTACCTCAACGACTACGGCAGGGAGTATGGCAACAATCACTACTACAGTGGCTAAGGCTACGGCTGCGATGGCGGCTGCGGCGGCGGCTACAGTGACGGCTATGGCTACGGCTATCATCACCAGTCGTAAGGAAGTGGACGCTAATGGTGTTGTTTTTCCGTTGGTCCAGCAGTTTTGCTCCAGAAATGAGATGAGAATAAAAAGCCCAATAACCGGCGTGTGCATTCTGTCCCACCATGTCCCGTTTCTCAAAATAACGTACATTGCGTGTCTCGAGTGGTGAATGAGAATGGCATAAGCGAGCTCAGAAATGTTACCAGCAAACAGTTGAAGGACGCTGCTACCTGAGTCAATCACAGACTAGTGCACCTAGTTTACTAGTTTACTTTCTAGTTTACTGGTTTACTCGCTAGTTTACTAGTTTACTTTCTAGTTTACTAGTTTACTTTCTAGTTTGCTAGTTTACTTTCTAGTTTACTAGTTTACTTTCTAATTTACTAGTTTACTTTCCTGCATGGTTTCCAGCTTGATAAAAGTTACTTGCATGGAAATTGTTATCGGTGGTAAATGTGTTGAGATTATGTGCAGACCTGTGCACTGCATTTTGATCTGGTAAGTATGCCACTTATAAAATGACTGATGCGTGCAGGAGCATGCATGATATTGCTGACACCTGTGTGTTTAAACACGGACCATCGTTTCCGTTATATCGTAGAAAAGTTTGTATAAATCACTCTGCACGCTGTCCGATTCCAGTATGAGTGGAAAGCGTCGGTTGCCGTTGAAAACGGTGGGGAAAAGTTCGCAAAAGTTTGGTGTCTCGATGTAAAAATCGGATGGGCTTTTAAGGGAGCCCTCTGGTATGGTACTGAATGAACAAATAAACCACTCGTGATTTGGCAGTTCCTGTCCTGTTACCATCCAGCCTTTGGCGCTCAGTTTAAGATGTGCCATAAACCACAGGTATGCTCTGGTTTTCTCTGTGAAAAGCATTTATCTGAGAACCAACGTTGAGCAAAAGAGCTCCCCCCAATTTATTCCAACGGGGGGGGGGGGGGGGGGGTAGGGGTAGGCCGAGCCGTGCGCCTGTCTGCTGACGCGTCCTGGGGAACGCCAATCCACCTGTCGAAACCTCGCTGACGTAAGCCCGCGGCGGAAATCTTACCTGATGACGGGGAAGGCCGTGAAACTTGAATGCAGGGGTGAAAGGGCCTCTGATTTACGGGATATGATCGGTGAGAAAACGGGCACTTTTGAAGACATTGGGTGACAAGACTGAGGACATGAAAACAAATTACAACGGGCCAGACCATATTACAACAGACCATTCGAACTAGACGAAACTATAAGTTTACTTTTGGTCTGTACTCAATAACGCTTGCAGCGTGGCATGTGTGGCGCACGTGTCGAAACGTTGACGTTTCGTTGCATGAGCAGGTTGAGTCACAATATGTGGCCAAACGCAGGAGCTTTAATTAGGATAAATTTCTTTTGTTCATTGGTGTCTTCGGGTGCGTCGACTTCAATGGTCATTTTGCGCCCATAGCATAGTTTTCAGCGAGTGATGGAAATACACCACGAACTATGCTATATCAGTGCTGACGTCACAGATCGATGGTGCCACAGTTACCAATACCCCCAGATCACTGTTTTTGTACATAATTTTCAACCAAGATCCACTTTGCATACTAGGCAGCATTAAGTACCAAATAACTAGGCTCATTACTAGTCGCAGGAAACGTGACTAGCCACATCCTCCTGCGACGAACGCGATCAGTGGGGTCAACGCATTACCGCGCGGCAAGCACTCGACCTCATCTGCCTCAAATGGCACGACGCTTTAAAACGCTGCGTAGCAAACTTGTCACATTCGTCGCATGATGCTGTGGCCAGCCACGATTCTTACGACTAGTAATAAACGCAGTTGTTCGGCATTTCATGCTGCTTAGTGTGTGAAGTGAATTTTGACTGAAAAAATCTGCAAAAAACACTTACCTAAGGGACATTAGAAAAGCGTGGTGTCACCATTGATCCGTGACGTCAACACTTACCTGGTGTAGTTTGTACGGTATATTTCTGTCACCTGCTAAAACCTGTCCTGATTAATGCTACTACGCTTGGTAACATTTTATGGCTCAACTTGCTCATACAGCGAAACCGACGACGTTTCGACGTGTGCTCTACACATGCTCACGTTGCAAGTGTTAGCGAGTACAGACCAATTCAAATCGTTGAGTTTCGTCCTGCTCGGATGGTCTGCTGTAATATGGTATGGTCTGCTGAAATTTGTTTTCATTCTCGCAATTTTGTCATCAATTGGCTCGCAAAAGAGTCAGTTTTTGACAGCGATCATATCCAGTAAATCGGAAGCTTTTCCATCCCTAGCTACTGCTTCTTGTAGTAGCCTCTTGTATCTGTGATAAGCTTGCACTGAACCGTCCAGAACTGTGCATTGTCTAGCTTCCGAGACTATGATTATCCCAAAGAGATAGTTAACCTCAATAGTTTAATACATTCAAAGCCAGCCAACTTTGAGTTGTAATGCAAATTGCGCCTAGTGGAAAGCCTACACATCTGCAAATCTGTCAAATAAAGTCCAACAACAAACAGGCGGGTTTCCTCGGTGTGCGTTTGGCCACCGGCGGCTCAAGTGGCAGATTTCAAAGGGAATTTCTAACTTAATTATGTACGTGGTCATGTTCATTGCACTTACAGATTATTCCAGCAAGTAGCTTGCTTGGTTCGGTACAATTATAATAGTCGTGTGGGTGCAATATTAAAACATAGCGCGACCAACTTTGCAAGTTATTGACCATCCCTTCGTTCACGTAACTTCGTCAAAAACAAAATCATCAATCAAGGTCAAAATCCTCGAAAACATGCCACGAAACGGCAACTAGGCGATGATTACACAACGGGATCGTCTACATCGTTGGTACTGGCGAGAAGCTTCCCGTGGATGCGAGAGGCAGTGATGGTCGGCGACAGGCGGCTCCAGGATAAGGCCGCGCGATACGGAAAAGACCTGTGTGGCACCGACAGGCGAAAAGCTGGCAGATCCGGGGCGCCCGTCGCTGCCGCGCGGGTGGCACACTGGCGTACAGCGGTACGTGGGTTAACAGGGAGCGGCTCTCCACCGGAGCCCGCGAGTCCCTTCGGGCCCTGGATACAGCGAAGCTGTCACGGTGGGTGACAAGATAGCAACACCGTGTCGGCCCAGCGCGTGAACATCCGCCGCCATTGGATCGCGCCGACGAGCATCGGTGGCGATCCTGGCCTTGCTTTTTAATGCTGGCCTGGCCTGGCCTGGCTTTGCTTCGAAGCTTTTTAAACTCTTGCACTCTTTTGATGTGATACGCTGCAGCCCCACACCAGAACGAGAGGCAGTACAGAAGATGACGGAAAACCTAGGACTGGATGAGAGATTTACGAACCTCGGGGGTTAAGCTGTGCATTTTTGTGAATCTTATATAACTAGAGAAGGATGGGGTTACAGTTCTTGACAACATTGGATATGTACATCTCCCAGGGAAGCATACTCTTAATAGTACCCCATCCCCCTTCCCCAGCATCTTTGTGGACGGCGAAGGCCTTATTTCGTGCTGCTTAATGTCAAGGTGAAAAGATAAGGCTTTCTTCAAGGATAGAGAAATGCACCGAGAAGAAGAGTTGTTTTCGTGGGATTCATTTTAAGGGAAATAGATGTGGAGTAGGAAGGTGATGATTTAGATGGTTTTCTCCTGTCCTGGTTTCAAAACGGATAGTTGGTCTGGATAAGCAGGGCTTAGCAGTTGGGTGTCATCGACATATGACACAAGACGTCTGTGAGGGAGGCAAGATGGAAGGTTATTCGTGAAGATGCTGAAAAGGACATGGCTGACAAAGAATCCCTGGCGAGCAGAAGGCAGAGATTCTACCTCTCATCACGTATCGTCAACCACCTTTTCCCTAATCTGGTCGTTCGCTTTTTTCTCTTTTCTGCTCTGCTTTTTGTTTTGTTAGAGACGCCTAGCTCTCGCCGAATCGCGTCCAGCGCGCATGCACAGTCCCTCACAACCGCGCTTTCTTCTCCCCATTCGATGTTGCTTCACCTAGTTCGATGAACTGGATGGTCTCCTGTGGCATCCGTGCATGTTCAGGCTCGTTTTCCATTTAATTGTCTGTTTGCTTTCCTTCTCTCCCTTTGTTCCGTTTGGGGTGCGCTAAACTCTGACCAGATCCCGTTCAGCGCGTCGGCGCGGTCTTCACCACACGCGCAGTGTCCCCTACCTCGCTTCACCGCTCATCCGTTCCGAAGGATTACCTGGTGTTGTATGGCATCCGTACGCGTGAAATTTGCCCTTTTTTGTCGCTCGTCTCATTTAGTTCGGTGCGGTCTAGCTCCGTGCAGCGCATGCGCCGCACGGATTCTTTCAACGTGCGCGCGTGTTCCCATTCCCTATTCTCTGATATATATATATATATATATATATATATATATATGTATATATATATATATAACTAGATATATATATATATATGTATATATATATATATATATGTATGTATATATATATTCTATTACGTGCTACTTGACCCGGCACCATTACTGGCTGATCGGCGCACGGTGTCCACGCTCGGTTGGCAAAAGTCCCTCTCGTTTGGGATGGATCCGCTACGGACACCTGAGCCTCGGCGCGGAGGAGTATGGCGTCGAACATTCCGAAGCGGACGGGATCTCCGGGCCGTTAGCTAGCGGTTGGAGGCAGATCGCCGGCCATGGGTGCCGAGGCGTCGCGATGTGGTGCGCCGAGCCCGCTACATCTCGAGGGATCATCCGCGACTCCGTGAGACCAGGGGAGATCGCTTCCGACGCGCCGACCGGGACAGCGCTCGTAATGAGACACAGACGCCATCTACCAGTCGACATTGGCAATCGCGGTAGAGGGCACCATCCGACTGTGCGCCAGGCGGCGCGAGCACCCGCGCCCCGCCGGCAGAGGACGGCACCGTGCGGCGTGGACGGACGAGGCAGCCCAGCGCTCGTGACCCGCCGGCAAGTTGCGGGGTCGTGCTACGCGCCGAGCGCGTGGGATTCGAACTCACTAAAGCCACGCGCAGACGTGAGACCACGGACGCGCGTGGGTCGGGGCAAGAGACGAGCCCATTCGACGAGTCCATTCGTGTCAGACGAGTCCATTCGTCACGACGATACCTCCTGTCGCAGCGGGTATTTTTCGCTGTTGCTTTCATTTTATGTGTTTTGGCTTGCTTGTGGCAGTCCCTTTTTGTTGTCCTGGAATCCAAGGGAGTGCTGGCTGAGTCATCGATACGAGACAAAGCGTGCACGCCTTCAGGAGCAGGAGAGAGCGAACGCAGCCAGTCAGCTGTCGGGTGCGGGCCCCGGGCCTGCTCCCACGGGAGAGGTAGTCCCTCCCC